TACAAAGAGGCAATTAAAATGTTGTTCCGTATAATCCGTATTTGTTGATGAAGTATCACGCACATGTGAATGTAGGGGGTGTTTGGAACTTATTCTGCTTCTGCTTCTTTTTTAAAAGCAGAAGCAGAATCAAAATCAGTTTTCAGAAGCTGGTACCCCCTAGCTTCTAAAAAAAACTGATTCTGGGAGTAAATTAGAGCACCAGAAGTGCTTCTAGAATTTCACCCAAGCACTCCAGCTTCTGCTTGGGTATTGTAATAAGTCAAATTCTATTAAGTATTTATTCAAATATGTAAACAAAGGCCCTGATAGAGCATCAATGAAGATTTCCAAAGAAGGTGATGAAGGAAAACACCTGTAGTTGATGAGATCCAAAATTACTATGATTGCAGATACCTTTCTCCATGTGAAGCCGTTTGGCAAATTTTTGCTTTTGAGATCAATGAAAGGTGGCCTCCTGTTAAGATATTATTGTTCCATCTTCACAATGAACAACGTATCGTGTTTAAAGATCATGATGATATTGAAAAGGTTGTTGCTGATAATGAGGGTATTGACACAATGTTTTTAGCTTGGTTTGAAGCGAATAAAACATATGAAGAAGGCAAAAACCCGACTTACACAGAATTCCCAACAAGATTAGTTTACGTGAAGCAAGATAAGAAGCGGAAATTGAGAAAGCAAGGCTTTTCAATCAGAAGACTCAATTATATTCCTCCATGTTCAGGGGAATTATACTACATGAGAATTTTATTGACAATCAAGAGAGGATGCACTGATTATCAGAACATAAGAACGGTTGATGGACAAGCATTCAGCACTTTTCAAGATGCGTGTAATGCTTTGGGATTGTTGGCGGACGATAAAGAATTTATAAATGCTATTGAAGAGGCTTGTGTGTTGTCCTCTGGAAATGAATTAAAAAAAATGTTTGTAGCATTGTTGGTTATGAACACAATGTCAAAACCTGATAATGTGTGGAACGCCACTTGGAAATTATTATCTGATGGGATTTTGTATCACTGAAGGAGGGCATTAAAGAATCCAGGTAAATTTCATAAATAGGTGTAAATTCCATTCTGAAAAATATAATTATTCCTCTTTATAACATTTTTTTAACCATTTAGAACTCCAAATTGGCGATGACGAACTACACAACCTTTGCTTGATGGAGCTGGAAAAGCTACTTAATCGGAACGGAAGATCATTGAAAGGCTATGGTAGTATGCCTTTCCCTATTTTTCTGAAATGCATGACTATCAAAACCAGTTCATAGTGGATGAACTCAATTATGATATAGATGAGTTAGCCAAAACACATGAAAGCATTGCAATTTTCCCTAATGTGCTCTCTGATTAGGTTAAACCTAATGGCTTCAGAAATCATCTGGATCACAGTAAGAATAGCACAACCTAGCTGATAACGTGACCTCTGTCCATGAGCACGACCATGAAATTTTGAAAGGTGCAATACGGCTTCTTCCAATGAATGTTTACCAAGCATGAGACCCCATCTTCCCGCTCCTCCCATGTCAGAATAATTTTCGCCAAAAGACAGTTTCTTGGTTTCTTGATAGTCTTGAAAGAGTATATCTTGCTCCAGAGTATATAAAATACCCCGGAACGGTAACATAGGGCAAAAACCCAAGAGGTACAAATTAGAAGCATTATAAACGACTTCAATGGTGTTCTGTGCCCCCGCATTCATGGTGATTACAAAGCACTGCATTGTATTATCTTGACCACTACTCAAGACAGGTATACAGATGAAACTATTCCCAAAATATAAGAATGAATGCACAATAGGGGATTCTTCTGTTAAGAAATTTCGTATAAACCTGTCATATTCATCATGAGTCGAAGCACTCACTTCAAACGCCAACCGATGTCCTATCCTGGGAGCTCTGACTATTCCTTCAACTTCGTTGATTACTCTCCTTTTATTCATCGTCAATTGCTTACCCGCGATTTGCTCAATTCGAATTCTTTGCGATTTCTCCTCTACGTCGATTTCTTTATGCCACTTATGTTTGAGTTCCTCTGCATTTTTTGGGTGTATTAGACATTTAGATGCCAATTTGCCATCAACATTGTCACAAATAAATCATTGATTGTTGATATTATTTACGTACATTTACGTACGTGTGCATGCAGTGACCGCACCCAACATGACTCCTCCATTATATTGTTATTAATTATTTAATATTATTTCTCTTATATTGTAGATTCGTAGGATATGTATTATTTATAACTAATAGCTAGCGTATAGGAGTAAATTACTCAAGTTGGCATATAATGTAGTGCGCAGTAGTAGGAATTCAAATGTATTTATATTCATTTCCGTTCAATTGTGAATACAACGAGAATTATTATTCGATGATCCAAAATTCAATTTGGTATCAGAGCGGCTAACGATCCACGTTTGAACTCCAACCGACTTCGCCAAACATGGTGAATAATACTAATGACACGAACTCCGACCGAATTACAGCGAACGCCGGCAATTCAAATGGAAAAAGGGAATTGTGATATGATGTCGGCTCCAGGAGATGTTTCACGAGCCCCCAACTTCACTGATGATCAATGGAAGAACTTTATCCGACTAATGGAATAGTGTAAGGCATCATCTCCACAAAATGAAATCTCAGGTATGAACACTAGTAATACTACTTGGCTATTAGACTCCGGCGCGTCTTTTCATATGACTGGACAGGGGAACCTATTGATGAACACACAGAAGGTTTCACCGATGCCTATATATTTACCGAATGGAGATGTTACATATGCTACGAGCAAAGGGGAGGTGCAGTTAAGCCAAGAGATTACACTTAAAAATGTGTTACTGCGTGAAACTATGAAGAAGGGTGAAGTAGAGCTTGGCTGGGCTTGGCTGTTGTTCAACTCAACTCCACTATGTTTTATGAAGTAGAGCTTGTATCGTTTGTTAAGGAAAACAAATCATTGGATATGAAAATTGATGAGAAAATTGAAGTTGCTCTCAAAGCTGGAAAATATGCAAGAGAATCAAAGGGAAAATAGCTTTAGTGAGGAAAAGAAAAAATAAAGGGAAAACTGTCAAATAGGTCCTCGAACTTTCATAAAAAGGTCAATTAAGTCCTTCTATAGGAGGTTCTGTCCCGCCGTCGCGATTTGGGGCAGTTCCCGGTGGAATTTTTTGATGAAATTTTTTGAGCATATTGTTCACCAAGTCTAGTTTACTCATACCAAATTTCAGCTACAAATTCAATCGGGAACACATTCAAATTAATTCTTGAAGATAACTGCACATTTTTGCGTTCTCGAATTAATTTGAATGCGCTCCCGATTAAATTTTTAGTTGAAATTTGGTATGAGTAAACTAGACTTGATGAATAAGATGCTCAAAAAATTTCATTAAAATATTACACGGGAACTGCCCCAAATCGCGACGACCGGACAGAGTCTTCTATAGAAGGACTTAATTGATTTTTTTTATGAAAGTTCGAGGACCTATTTGACAGTTTTCCCAAAAATAAACCAAGGCTTTGCGCTTTAAGAATATTATGCAATTTGAACAATGCAGCCTGCAAGTTGATATTGAAAGATTACAAAGAGGCAATTAAACAGTGTAAGGTTCTTAAACTAGAGACTACTAATGTCAAAGCACTCTACCTGAGGACACAAGCACATATAAGTATGGCTAACCTTGACCTGGCTGAGTTAGATATTAAGAATGCTCTTGAAATTGATCCTGACAATAGGGATGCAAAATTGGAATACAAAATGTTGAAAGAGAAAGTAAAAGAGTTCAAAAGGAAGGATACCAAGTTCTAAAGGAACATGTTCGATTAGGCATGGACCGGTTCCGGTCGGCCCGGGAACCGGCCCGACCAGCCACTGTGCGGGCCCGGACCGGCCTGAGAATTGGGCCTAGGACCGGCCCGGTGTGTTAGAGCGGTCCAGTTCCGGGCCTACCCTTCCTTTGGAACCGGACCGGCCTGGCCGGGCCCAGTTCGGGTATATTTAATTTTTTTTGTTTGTTTTCATTTTTTTTTTGCTTTTCTCGGGTTGGGCTAGGTGTTTTGAAGGGGTTTGGGGGATGGGGGGGGGGGGGGGGGTCAGGGGTTAATTAGAAAAAAAAAATATGAACCAGTGTGAGACAGACTCGGACCCGGTTGCAAACCGGGCCCGCCCCCAAAAAACAAAAGCCCGGTTTGGACCGGCCCGGAACCGGTCCATGCCTATGTTCGATTATTAGCAGTCGCCAACAAAAGAGTTGTTCTGTTCCTCAGCTTTTATATTTTGTCAAATGACTAGGATTCTATAAGTTGTTCTGTTCCAATCCTAATAAGGAAAAGTTTTTTAGTTTTGGCATTCTATAAGTTGATACTGTCCACTGCTATTTGGGTAATGGATAATTTTTTGGGGGGGAAAAAAAAATTAAACATGCCAAACCATAATAAGTTCAAAACATGTTTGGTAAGAAAAATATGCACGGAGGGGACACACTGTGAAGCCTTTGAACCAAACCTCAACAGGGAAATATCCCAAGAGATACAATAATTAAAAAAAATGAATGGGAATTCTATATAAATCAGAACTAAACAAGTAAACAACAGCTACAAAGAGTGACATCAAGAACAGCGAAGCAAGAAAAGCACAGCCAAAAGAAATAGGACGGAAGTAGTAACTTACCTATGAGGAAAGGAAAATTAAACGCCATGGAAGTATGGAACTATGGAAGCTGTAGTTCGCTTGTATAGACAAGAAAATCAACTAACAATAAGGAAGAGGGCAATTATGAATCAGCCAAATGAGTCATAAACCAATTTCTAACTTCCTATTTCACTTATTTACATAACTAAGATTTATTTACTCAGTCCGTTGTTAATTGCAACACTTATGATTTAATGTTTATCAAATAACAACTTTGACCATTAGCATATTCAATTCTCTATTAACCAAAAACTTAAAAAAAACAAATATTGAATATTTAAAATGACATATTCAAAAATACCTTTATAAAATTTCAATTCTAATACATTATTAAGTAACATGTAATCAAAGTAGAGTGTATGAAGAATAACAAATTCAACTCGATGCAATTATTTCAGAATGGGGATATTATGAGTTATACGAATTATAAAAATACAAACACAAAATTAGACATCTTTAAAAACATGGAGCTTCAAACATTATTATTTAGAACATCATTACCATATACGGACTACTAAACATTACAAAAATATGACCAAGCAGAAGTTGTCCATGGTCCTGTCCAGCATCAAGAAGAACACATTACAGCCAGCCCATATTTCATAATTCCCCACACCGATTTCTTTTAAGCTGTTTCCTACTCCAAAAACATCAGAGCCTAAAATAGCAGGCAGTTACTGCTGTGACATTAAGATTGAAACAATGAAAGGCCAGATGAAAAATGCTTCTTTTCCAGAGCAAGAAAGCACTAAATGAATGTGAGTGTGAATTTAAGCTGACCAGCAGCACGTATCAACTGTTGATCTAAATGACGTTGTTGGCAACGTTCTCCCAAAAGTGAGAGTCTTATAACCTTTAGTAACAACATTGTATGAAATCAAATTTCCTTGCCCATGTCCATCGTAAGCTAGCAAGATTTCCTCATTGTTAAGAAGGCATACAATCCGTAACATTTCTTCACCACGGGTCCTCCAATTGCGATCAAATTTGAGAAATTCGGCCCCAAAAACATACTGCTTCACCCAAGATGATTCCACTTCATATGTTTTCATCACCCAAATATGCATCCTTGAATCAACTCTTCTTACACCAACCGACAAACACCCCCCTAAAACAGCAAGTTGAGATCTTTTACTGTTTCGAAATATAACCTCCACAGGCATGGGAACATCCTTGACAGAATAATCCATGATGGCAATCGATGTAATATTAAGAAAACGAGTCAATTTCCCTTTGTTTTGAACAGTGAGACAGTGGAGTTTCCCATTCACCAAAACTCCTTGATTTTCCGACTGATCTTCTACTTTAAAAGAAAACTCTCCTAATCTTGTCCACTCATTCCTACTCAGACAATATACATAGGCTATTGACCTAAATTCGTCCAAATCATAAGTGGGGCGTATAGCAAATATTTTGTAATCGTTGGTAAGTGGATGGCAAGCAGCCCACCAATACGAATAAGATGAAGAACCATCAATTTCAGGTACAAGTTTATAGTCCCTTGTGAATGGATTATATAGGCAGTTCCATCTCCAATTATGCAGATCTTGTAAGATCATAATGCCATTGGATGAGCCGAGAACCGAAAACGCTCTTGGTGTAAGATCAACAAATGCATTTTGAATTTTACTTGCAATCAATCCGTCTTCATTAATATCAGAGAATTCGACAAAGTGGAGTTCGTTTTTATATGATGAATAGAAATAGAGAAGTTTTGACCTTGTACTACTACTACTCCGAGAGAAGTGCATACGAAAAACATGGGAATCATGAGACCAGAGTTCCCAGGAACGACAAACAGACCTGAACTGGAAAATAGATTTGACATTGGGAAGCCTCGAGAGAATGTCCTTGGCGATTTCTGGTGGCAAATGACCAAATATATTTTTGGGCTCATCTTCAGCTACTTCTTTCTTCTGCTTTAAGAGGAGGCGGTTACTTCTCTTCTTTGGTTTTGGGAGATCCATGGCTGTCGGTTTCTATAGATTAGCGACTCAGATAACTATTAAACTAAAGATGCACATCAGCCTCCTATTTCGGTTAATTTCATTTATGCCACTCCTTTGCCCCAAGCAATTACGAATACTGAAATGAAGGAATCTATCTGCCACTTTTGAAAAAACAAAATACATTAAACACATCATGAGCTGAAAAGGAACAAACAATAGAGAGCCACCAAAAGAAACAGGGATAGTCAAATAATGGAGCCTTTTCATGTTATGACTTATTAATCAATAGGCAAATCTGGAAAATACAATCACATTATATGATAACTCGAAAAATGAAAAAACTGCACTTCAAAAGAACCTCTTAAACAAACGAATATGAGAATACAAAAAATGAAAGGCAAAACACAGCGAGACTGAAACAGACATTTCAATAGGATCACTTTAAAGTTCGAACAATTATGAATAAATGGCTTCACTTAAGTGAGGGGATCTATCCACTATTTTTGAAAAGGCAAAAAACATCAAATTCATCATAAACTGAAGAATAGAAAATAGTGGACAGCCAATGAAAGAAGCAGGGAGGGTTATGCAGTAGAGCCTCTTCATGATATGACTTATTAATCAATAAGCAAATCTAAAAAAAATACAATCGCATTATATGATTACTCGGAAAATGAAAACTATCACACTCCAGTATTCCACCAATCCTCCAAAGCACCTCTTTAACAAACAACTACTCCGTATAACAATAAAAAGAATTGAAGGAAAAATCGGTGATACTGTGAAACAGACACTTCCATAGTAACACTTCCAATACCATAGAACCAGGATGAAAGATTCAATAAAATTATGCGCAACAGATATCTTAGAAGCAGGCAATTTCGTAACTTTAATACATTAGTGAGAAAAAAAATCAGAAACAAAATTACGACTCGCAATATACGGATGCCATAGTTATGTCTAAGCTTTCCTAAATTCCAGAACAAAATACGTAGTATCACATAAGAAAAGCTAACCCAGAAAATGTTGTGGGACTGGAATCCAAAAATACAGAGATTTCCATGGCTTTCACGATGACGATGGCTTTCACGATGACGAGAAGCAATGCAGAATTAGGTCTGGAAGTATAAAACGGACTCCTAAATTGTTTATAAATGAATTGACAATGGCTGATTAGTGGAGAAAACGGCCTCAATTGTTAAAGAATCCCTAAATACTTCACTATTGTTGTAGGGAGAATTGATCGTAGAGTTTCATTACCGAATGCCCCTATAAATAGGGATAGAATAGGGTTTACAAGTACGGGTCAACAGGCCCAAATTACATAGTATACATAGGAATGACCCTAATACATATTCTATATAAACGATAGCACACTACATAGAATTTCCTTCAACACTCCCCCTTGTGCTGAGTTGAATATAGAATTTCGTATCTGTCTTGTCTCATCAAATCCTCTGTCAAGTAACAAAAACTCTGTGGGAAAAATAACCTTGACTGAAGAAAAAGAGTATAGCATCCCGATAGGCTTCTTCCATTAAGTCTATCCTTATTTGATCCTTGCTTTGATCAATATAATTTATGTGTCTGGTTACCTCATTAAAAACCTTACCAAGTAACAAAACCCAGTGAGAAAAATAAAACTTAATTAAAGGAAAAGAGTGTAACGCAGTGTAGATGGGGAACTCCCCCTCAAGTCTACCATATCCTTAAAAATTACATTAATCAAGGATGTTTGGAAAGTTCATACATTCCAATACTTTTAAGTTAATCACCATATCGAAGGCACACAAATAGAGGAATATATTCCCTTTAATTCTCCCCCTGTGTGCCAAGTATAAGGTGATAAGAGTAAAAATGTTATAACTTGCTAAACCGTTGCCAATTAGCAACACCCAATAGGGAAAAAAAATAAACATCAGCCGAAGGGAAAAGCAAGTATGATGCACCAGTATCCGCATCAATTACTTTTGATAGTAATCATGTTCTTTCTTCAACATTGTTTACCTTTACAAAATTAAAATGTGGTGCATATTGTGTTGTCTCAAAAAAAACTTTGCCAAGTAACAAAACCCAGTGGGAAAAATAAACCTTGGTCAAAAGAGAAAAAAAATACAACGCACCAATATACTTGATGATAAATAAGTATGTAAGGTACTCCCCCTAGTGAAAACACATCAATACTTGATATATACTTTTATCAAGGTATTATATATATAACATCATGGTTACTTGCATGAAAAATATATACTCATTAGCAAAATACCAATGAGGTAAGGGGATCCCATCATTGATAAAACTCAAATCACTTAGGAATTGTGATAGAGTAATACTTTTGATATTTTTAAATTCCCTTAGGAATATTGTTATCATCAATCATTCAATTCAATGTATAAGGGATGATTAAAGATTACATCAATGGTTTCATATAGATATTAAAGAACATTCTTCATACCATTCCAATGACGATCATACGATGTGTTGGTCCTAAACTACTTTTAGCTAACACATTATTGAGAATGTAATATGTGGTCGAATGTGTTTGTCAAAGTACAATCACGCGCATATTGCACTTACATAGGGAATTCCTTCTCCCAACATAGTGGATCTTTTCAAGTATCCATATTTCGACCGATCATGGGAGTGCTAACAATTTACATTTATCCATGTTAATTTGCCTGAGAATTCTTTTGGATATATGTAACTGGTGAATTAATATTCAACCAACTCGGTGTTTAATTTCAAAACAGACCCGAGTTTCCCGAGATCCTTTATCTCAATTATGTCTATATCATGTAGATATTGTGATATTTGGAAACAAAACTTATTTCCATTATAAATGCGCAAGGCATAATATATTCATTTTGCATCCCTTTTCTGTCAAGTGGTCACTTAGACGGGTATGTCACTTCTGCCTGGATTGATTTAATCCAAATGTGTATGTTTTAATGTAAATATACAATGCAATTAAAACCACTTGATTAGAAATAATGAAAACACAACAGATGTTTCGTATATATCTCTTAAATAAATTTTTACTGAGACATTTAATAGCCACACTCTAAGTCACGTCTCCATTACTTTGGAGACTACTTAGAGATTGAATGGATGAACATTTTTATGTTCAAAAATAGAGAAGTATAACTTTTCTTATTTGAATCCAGGGCATTATGAGAATAATTATGACCTCATTATCTCAATACGCTTTCTAACAAAGAATTATGCTATGTCCTACAGGCTTTACATTTGGTTGATTAGCACTATCACACCAAATACCTGTCTCTTTGTCAAATATTAAATTTATTCCTGGATTACTTGTACGCATTTAGGCCAATGTTCTCATTGCTTTCGTATTGCAATAGAGTATGGTTCGATATCATTGTGCTCTATATTCCTTTGAGCAATCGTAGAAATATATCGTCAGTATAAATGTATGGTCGACTCATACACGCTCTCATTAACATTGAGATTTTAATTCTCTGGAATCATTTGAACTTCGGGGCGTCCCCCATTATTGATTCATGGACATATTTAGTCAGAGATAATCTCGTGAGAGGAATTCATATGATGACGAATATATTGGTTTGTGCCTTATGTACCCTCTACTACTTAGGGTGGACAATTAATCAAACCATGTGGCTTCCCTCTATTCCCTTAGAGAGCCACGGCCTCAACCACAACCCCACTGCTTGTGATTGCAATGCTTCTTCCTTTAGCATTGTGTCTTTGAATTTGAACTTCAAACCTTATAAATATGTTTGCAGCTAGTGTGTATAATCTGATTACATAAATCATTTACTTTGACTTCAATGTTACATTTTGAAGTCTAAGATTTATCATTGAGACAAAGTAGTGATGTACCATCAAAATGATTCTGTCATTCAGTTAGAGATTTTTTTCTCTAATCTCCCCCTAATGACAGGAAAATCAATTGTCTCATCAAAGTGATATTCCACAAAATGGAGAACACATTATTTGTTAAGGCTTGTAGCGGGTTATCATTGGAGGTTCATATCCAACATAAACATCATTTGTCTTTTAAAACCGATTATAGTGCGTTGTGGGAGGCGCATTAGGCACAATTAGTTAACAACCATATATGTGTAAGTAGAACATCTCAGGCTAAGATCCAGTCACCAACTGGTATACACAAAAGTGGTTGTCTACTATCGGTCTAAAAAACAAATGTGTAAGAGTGCTTGCAATATTGCATAATCCCATGAAAATAGTTATATATACGTGTGCGCATAGTAGATATAATATTCATCATATATATATTCTTTTAGATGTGAGCTTTAGTGAGACTTTATTTTTACATGGGATGTGAGATGATTTTCATTGATCTCGACAAATATGCAATATCCATCAAGTAATTTTGATGAGAATTATCTAGCAATAACAAGTCATATAGACTTGATTGGTCGGGTGGTGAACCCTTAAATGAATAAATTTTGCTAGAAGTTTTGCAAATGCAACATTTATTTGTGTAACATAAAAGTAAAAAGCATGGGGGAATTTCTACCAAACCATAATTACTTAAATGGCCCGCATTTTGGTAGATAAATTCTCACATGTGACATTGTACTGAAAAAATGAGATATCTTTATTGTTATATCCTTAGTATAGATAAGTCTCGATTTCACTATTGCTAAGGAGTAAACTTATGAAATAACTGACGTGCCTTTTACTATACCTGTAAGGCACAATAGAAACGGAATATTTCTACTCATACTTTAGAAGATAAATATAATTTTTCTATTTATCAATGCTAAGACCAACAATTTACATTGTCTTGGATTCAGGTGTATCCTTGTGTATCCTTCAGTTGAATGATTAAAAATCATAGTGACCATTTCACTCATAATTTATTAAATATGCATTTTCTTTTGCATTTATTAGATGCAATATAATATTTTCTATCTCATTTTTATGGGAAATTTCTGTGTGAAACCCCATTAAGGGTAGCTCGGCGAACATTGAAATTCCCTCAGTATGAGAGTTCTGGAAACATCCCATCACAAGGGTGTATAAAGGGCAAGTTTTTCTTGTCACTTTGACAAGAGACCGCTCACAAGACTTGGACTCATGACATGATTCCATTCTATGTGAAAACCATTGTGATGCACTAAATTAGAACGTGGTAAATTTTGGTAACTTCTAGATGCATTTAGAGGTCATGTGTACAATTCTTTCAACATAAATGATTTTAAGGAATTACTTCAATAAATAAATATTCATTCTTTAATTTATTGTGTATCATCACAATGAGTTAAAATACTTATTCAATATAGGTGGTAATAGTTTGCAAATGTCACTCATATACTTTAGAGTGTCATGATCCCAAATAGAACGATGTTCATATCATTTTACTATTTATGGATATATCATGTTGTATCTATTTGGTTATGAATGAGATTCATAGATATGCATTTAGTGAATCCAGATGCATAAACATCTCAAATATAATTTGAGATAAACATTGAGATATCAAATCAATTTATAATCTCAAATAAATACTCATAATTTATATTGAACTGCAAGACTCCGAATAAATATCTGATTTAGGAGAAGTAATTTCTATATTTCTAAAACTCATTTAAGAGTTAAATAAAAAATGAATAAATTCGGAAATTAGAGAAAATTCTTATTCTCAACATAATGGGCAAGCATAAAGTCAAATTTATATTTAATCTCTCATGCAATGAATCTTTTGTTCTTTAAAGATTCTATGAGGATTGATACTAAAAGCGTACTCAATTATATCATGATGAGATTATTGAGATTATTACATTTGACACACTTATGTTCAACGATCTACTCCACAAAAAATCATATTCTATTTGGAAACTTATTTGTCTAAATAACTTGTAAATGTTTTTATTTCCAAAGAAAAATATTATTACCATTGAAAACGGACAAAATAAGAATATATCTCATTCGTACAAGCTCATAAGCTTTTGATGATCACACTCTCATTTATACTAGTTCATTAGTATAAAATTAATGACAAGTGGAAAATGCATTGTGATATGAACCCGAAAAATGCGTGCATTAGTAGGTATAAATGTGCTTGATGAAGCAACTTACACTTTTGCACTTAAAGAAGTGAAAATTATGTGTTAAAGAAAATAGAGACTATTTAATGAATTAATCTATAGATTACTCTATCATGCCCCACTTCTTTGAGTGAGTGATACTCATGATGCTCAACTTCAATGGAAGATATTCCCATTGTAGTTGGAATAAATGTGGCAAGGCGCCTAAGAAACATGAATACATCAACTTTTATCTTTCAAGACGGTGTATTGTCTTTCGCATTTTCAACATAAGTGAGCATAAGGGTAGTTTCTACATAATCTGTCCACTGATGGTACTCAAGTCCTTCTGAATCCAGAATGTCAAATCGAGATCAAGTTGGATTTATCATCTTTAAAGAAATGGACTAAATGAAATGATCATGAGTACTTCCATGACATTTGGATGGAATATAATATTAAATTTTAACTTGTAATGAGGTAAAGAAATATGCAATTGTTTGCCTGACAATTCTTAATCTCACATGACAATTACTAATAGAAGAGATTGAATGTTGAAAGTGAGCTAATCTCACCATTCATATGCATATGCGTATAGTAGGTTAAAAGATACGGAGTATGATTAACAGAGGTACAAAATGGTTTAATATTTTTTTTAATTAAGATTATTTATGAGTAATTTGTTAATCCATAATTATAGGTAAAATGGTTTCATAAATTAACAAAGAAGCAAAACATGTTTTTAAGGATGGAGAAAATATAATTCTGTTTAATATATTTGGTTTCAACACATAAAAGTTTATGAATTAAAGAAAAACAAAACAAGAACAGAACAAAACTTAAACATACTCAGCATACGTACATAGTACATAAAAGAAATTAATAAATTTGTGACATAATCATCCTTCGTGATGTGCAAAAAAAAATTGTGATATGGCACGTAAAACAATCAGTATTGAACAATAGAATCACACAGTCAAGTTTTGAAACGATGATACCTGGAGATTGCAATTTGTGGCCATTGTAAATTTGGCCCATTTTTTTAGCCCCTTGTGAAGCCTTCCACGGATTTCAAGCAACGCAAAGCAATGATGTATGACCGGCGGGCTACTGCTTTGCGTGATGAGAGGCGGCAGTGCTAGATACTCCAGTAGCAGGGGGTGATCCTCTAGTAGCAGATCGTGCAAGCCTCGTCATTCAGAGGCAGATCCTGTTGCCGGGCGTTGGCCTTCAGCGGTAGATCCGGCGGGCGGCATCGTTCAGTGGCAGATCTGGCGGGTGGGCATCGGCCTTTTGTGGGCGTTGATAAGCCCTGAGCGAGGACATCGGAGCTTTATTGATTAAGATGGTACAACAGTCCATTCTCGGTAGATCTGGCAAGTATCATTCTAGGCGAAGCTTTTCGTCGTTGACCGGTGCAATAATGAGATGATGCAGTTGGAAGCTCTAAGGATGGCCTGTGAAGAGATTAAGAAGGACAACGCCTCCTGCGGCGAGAATGGATCTCAAAGTTGAAGATGAGACTTTGCATAGCGAAGCGTGAACAGGGATCCTTGTACAGATCGGGAACAGCGTGCGATGGCGGGCTGGACGAGCAGCGAGCGACAGCGGGCGGCTTCGTTCAGCGTCAGATCCGGTGGGCGGGTGTCAGCCTTTAGCAGCAGATCCGGTTGGCGGGTGTCTGCCTTCTTTGGCAGACGGCGAGCAATATCGGGCGAGCTTCGTTATGGATCTTCGTTCTAGAGCCATCTGGATTCGTGCTACTTGAGGAACAGAATGAACGGCGTTGACTTTTATCAACGGATTTGGCGGGCGGCGTCTGGGGTTCTGCGGTAGTGATTGACTGGTAGCGTGGCAGGTTAAGGGGCGGCGAACTGAGTTTTCTTGGCACTGGGTTATGCTGTTAGCGACAGCTGGAAGAACGGAAAAGGTGGAGCAGCGTAGATGCTGCGGCTATGAGTGCTACCAAAGGCGGAGCAGAGAACGCAGATGGGAGCGAAGAAAGAGAAAGCTAGGTTAGGTTAGGCTCGTGCTAATAACGTGTTGTAGGGAGAATTGATCGTAGAGTTTCATTACCGAATGCCCCTATAAATAGGGATAGAATAGGGTTTACAAGTACGGGTCAACAGGCCCAAATTACATAGTATACATAGGAATGACCCTAATACATATTCTATATAAACGATAGCACACTACATAGAATTTCCTTCAACAACTATAACTTTTTTTCGGGAAAATGAAGGGTTTGGCAAACTAGTTAAAAAGAAAATGTGGTAGGTATTTGGTAAAAAGTGACTGTTTGATTTATTTATGTGTGGTATACAAGCTGTTAGGACTTTTAATACGAAGTACTAAAAGTCACAAATTTTTCTCAAATGTTACTCCTCGTAGCATTTCAAAAAAATCTTTTAATTTTTGAAAAACTATTAAAAAATGTCATGCCGAACATTCAACAAGAAGCTTTTAGAGATTTTTAAAACAGTACAAAAGCTAAAAGGGAGAGACTTATTTCTATCAAACATGCACGAAAACTAATATTTCAACGTTTGCCTTCTTACAATAGTCTCGTCTTATCCTAATTCAAGAATGATCCAACATTTGCACTTCATCTTCATTTCTTTGCAAATCATTCAATCCAAAATACCTCATTTCACAAATCGTCTTGACTCTTTTATTCTCTTTTTTATCTTCTTATTCTTATTTTTATTTCTTTTTGATTTTTTTTATTTTTTTAAATGTTTATGTATTCCATTTCTCCTTCTTTTTCTTCTTCCTGTTTATTATTTCATTTCCATTTCTATATTTTTTTCGGATTAGTTTCCTTATAAAAAATCTCTTTCTCACATACTTTTTACTTTACTTTCTTTTTACTTACACTTATTTATTTCCTTTTTGCTTTTCTTACCTTTATTCCACCACTAATATATTTCTGAAAAATAGCCCCCAAATCAACGAAACTAATCTCTAAATGCACAAATAGGACTATGTTATTTATCTTTCCAAAATGGGACTAAAGTATTGTCTATCTTCTAATTCTACATTTCTACCCATATCATAACTTAATTGATAATTATACTCTGTATTTTACTTTACATAATAATAAAAAGAAAAATAAAAAAACATTTCAATTTGTTAAAATATAGTAATAAAATAAAATAAAAAGTTAAGAATATTTTTAAAAAATAGTAATAAAAATAATTTAAACAAAAAAATATAAGTGAATAAAACAAGATAAAACACATTAAAATTATTTAAAAAAATGGAGTTCTTTCCCGCAGCCTCGCCACCTCCCAACAATGTCACCACCTTCCAACAATGTCAATTCCGATCAGCGAAAAAATGCCATTTTGTGTACACACCGCAATTGTTTCTCTAAAGATGCCATGAATGTGACACTTACTCTTTGAAAATGCCAAAGTTTTCTAAAAAATTGTCACCAGGATAGCATTACTAACACATGTTGGCATTTCTTCCGGTGGTCGGAGGTGGTGGTGTTGGGAGGTTGTTGAAGCGGCAGCAAATGCCTGCATATTGTTTTCTACTTTTTATTTTTCTATTTTAAGTTTTTGAGTTTTTAAATTTATATTTTCATTTTTCTAATTTTTTAGTTTTATTAATTTTATTTAATATTTATTTTCCATTTTTTTACTTTTCTACATTTTAATTATAAATAAATTTATGTTATTACTTTTATGTTTTAATTATTAATGAAATATGAATTGCACTAAACAAAGTAAGGATAAAACTGAAAAGCTAGTCATATTTAAGGAAATTTGAAATTATACTTATATTCTTGATATTAAAGTTTCATTAAATACTATTTGAGGAAGGTCCATGATGATTTTACCGACCGTGGGGTAGTCGGAAACCGAGAAAGTAAATGGAGAAGAAGACCGCAAAAAGCACTAAGGGGGTGTTTGGATCTGATTCTTCAAACTGTTTCTGCTCCCTGATGGAGTAAAAGCAGAAGCTGGAGTGTTTGGGTGAAAGTGCAGAAGTGATTCTGGTGCTCCTTTTTACTCCTAGAATTAGTTTTTTTTAGAGGCTGGGGGTGACCAGCTTCTGAAAACTGATTCTGATTCTGCTTCTGCTTTAAAAAAGAAACAGAAGCAGAATCAGTTCCAAACACCCCCTAAGTCAGATCGGGTAGAAAATTTAGCAGAGTAATAGTAAGAGAATTCAATTTTGAATCAGAATTTCTTTCCACATGTTGGAATGTGATATTTATACTAAGAAATAATACTTGGTGCCCAAGCAAAATGTTCAAAAAGTTCTACAGTTGAATATTATTAGTTTTATATTACTTGGGTATATTTTTATGTGTTAGCGGTTCAACATTTAGCTTGTTAAAATTTGTTTACCTATTTGGTTAAATAGTTTTTAGTTTGTTATTATATTTTTATGTGTTAACAGTTTACGATGAAACATATTAATGGTTCAACCTTTTTTTACTTCTTAAAGGTTAACTGATGCTGGACACAATGGCGGACCCACTAAGGGTCCCATGGGGTCCCGGGACCCCGTGGTCTTCGGAAAATTCAGCTATATATATTACATATATTTTACAAAATTTACCTGTAAATCTTAAGAGTATATATACCAAATATGAGACTTTGGAAACGAATTGATGTAGTGGAGTGTTGGTAGCATGCGCGTGTTGAAAATCTTTCCCGTTCGTGAGGTACCGGGTTCAACTCCCCCTCACGTGTGTTTTTCTTTTTAAAAACTTGTTATTTTAAAATTACAAATGATGTTGTGGTCCATTTGGTTCCAACCATAGCAAATCCATTGTCATTTGTCATACGCCTATCTCCCTTCAGACCTCTACCATTTCTTATTAATTCATTTTTTTTAATTATTTATAAAATTTCTTTGAATGTTTAAGATTAAATTAATAAATTTATGTATTTATGATTTTTTTTTTGAAATTTTACAATTAAGGATGAAAAGATATTTTGGTAGTTATGACATTCATTCAAATGATTCGCCTTTAGTAAATAAAGAATTGGATCTAGTACTTGCTGAAAGTGAAACTAATTTGACCTATAATCTACATGAACAACATGTTGATTTCATCCTAATGTTCAAGAGAGGGTAAGCTATAGTTACTGTCAAAAAGGGTGGTTTCAACTTCGGGATCATGATTTCCCTATTAAAGTAATTTACAGCAAAAAACATAGATTTGTTTCAAGTTCGTTTGATGAGCATAAATGGTTGGAATACAGTATTTCCAAAGATGCTGCATTTTGTTTAGCGTGTTATTTGTTTAGGAATGAGTAGAAAGTTTGTGGTAATCGTTTTTGGGGAATATGATTTTCAGCATGGAATAAAAAAGATAGGTTTTATATACATTGTACATGTTGGTGGACCTATATATTATAGAATATTTCCAACAAATGAAACCCAGGAGGTACTTTTGTAGAATTGTAGAATGGCTTTCATATGTATTTTTTTCTTTATATCATCTTAATGTTTTGATGATGTACATTAACTATGAAACGTTATGCTTATTAATATTTTTTAATTTCATATTAAATATTAATGAAAGTTACATTTGTTTAGGGACCCCGTGACTCTGATTTTCTCAGTCCGCCACTGGCTGGACAATATACCAAAGTTGTATCAATGTAATACTATTGTTTCTTATATCGGTTATTCATAAAAATCATAGAACTGAATCGATATGATATTGGAAACCAGATCATAGAGCTGAATTGACAATACATCACGGTGGAAATTTAAAAAAAAGTCTTGAACATTCCTATGTGAATGGTGAGCTTGGTATTGTTAGGCTTGGCACGGATTTGATTTCATTTCCTGACCTGGTGAAGTTTATAACTGAGCAGAGTTACAAAAAAGTGGAATCCTTGTCTTTCAAATTACCAGAAGAGAGCTTGTAGAACTTGAAACCATTATGGGATGAGGCTTCCACCCTAGACATAATACAACTGACCATGAGCTGGGGCAAAGTTGATATATATGTGGAGCATGGCATAGATAAGCCTGAGCTCATTCCGCTCTTACCTCTAGCCTCTAGTGGGGAAGTCCTTGTGTTGGTGATTTTTTTTCATTTGTGTTCAAACTTAAGCAAGTGTCCTTGCATAGAACTGAACGGGTGTTTGTCTGTGGTATGGATAAGAGGCTTACAACTAACCCTTTTACCAGGTTTAGACTGTTCACTATTTAGTATTTGAAATTCTTGTTATTTTCCAGAAACGTGGAACATCTTTTTGGAATGCAAGTTATCAAAGAACACGATACCATTATCTCACTGGCATTAATGCAAATTATTTCTTTGACATTAAGATCCAAGTGTCATACTGTAGTTTGTGATATATATTTGCTTCTTCTGCCAATTTTGACTTGTATAATCTTTTATTATTTTTATCAGTTTATGTTCATTTATTCCATTTGCTTTGAGTTTCTTTCATTCTTTTACTCAACTATGTCAGACTAAAGTAACCTTCATATTACTTTAGTGCCAGTCGGCACTCCACTTCCAGAGGCATTTTGTTACGAGTCAATTCCCTAAATAGGACTAAAAAGTGGCAAAATTGCACAAATAGGACTACATTTTTTTAATTCCCTTAATAGGACTATTTATGTGTGTTTGGAAAAATATACCCTTGTAACTTGTGAAATGTTTTAATTAATAATAAAATCATAAAAAATAATAAAAATCGTAAAAAAATAATAGAAAATTAATAATAATACTTTTTTGAAAAGTAAAAAAAAAATATTTTTTTTAAAAATTAAAAAAAATAAAAAAAAATCGTAAAATTAAAAAAAAAACATTACCACCCCCCTGCCACCCCCCAGCACCACCAGCTCCCATCACTGGAGAAAAATATGCCAACATTTTAAATAATGCCATAATGATGGCATATTCAATGAAAATGGGCATATTGAAGAGTAATTATGCCATCTTTTTGGCATTTTCAGAAAAATATGACAGTTTTTTACCAAAAGTAGAAGAAATTTCACCAATCAGAGGTGGCGGTGCTGGGAGGTGGCAGGAGGCGGTGTGAAAGCTATCCATAATTTTTTTAATTTTTTTTATGGGTTTTTACTATTTTTTATTATTTTTTAAAAAAAATTAAAAAAAAATAAAAATTAAATTTTTTATTTTATAAATGTTTTATAAATTTTTATAATTTTTTTACGTTTTTTAAATATTTTTTACGTTTTTTTATGATTTTATTATGAATTAAAGC